TGTAAACTTTGGGTCATTCCTACCACAGTGTGAATTAGTTTAGTTAGATTGCTTTTTTTCCTAATACATAACAGATTAACTGAGTAGAAGGGAAGAAAAATTTTGATTTGGGGTTGGCAGTGACTCAAGATGGGGTTTATGACAGCATAAGGACATTAGGTTTCTGAAATCTTGCTTCTGACAGTTGTTACCTTGAGCAACACATATAATTTCTGTGCCTCATTTTCCTCATCCCGGAGATGTTTGGGCTGTATGATCTTTAAGGTCCTTTCAGATTCTAAATCTTACTGTTCTGTATCGTAACAGTAAATGGAAAAAGAGGTGGAAGGGTCCTAAAAGTAAATTTGGATTATTCTGAAATTCCGTTGCAGGAAAGGCAGAACAGGATATTTATGGCCACAGCTTCCTCCCCACCTCCACCTCCACCTCCACTCCTGCTTTTGTTACTTCACCATAGTTCCTTTTGTAGCTCCAAGGTTCCTTCCATATCCAGCATCCCTGGGTCCCATCTCTTCAAATCTCTCCCCATTTCACCCCCTCCATCACCATCACCCTAGAGGTTTAATTGCTATTCAATGAAATGTACAGGCGACTGAGTGACTGAGTGTTCCTTTCAAATGTAGATGAATGTTACTTTAGTAGTTTTTGTAGCCAAAGACTCATCATTTTCATCTTTATGTCTTTTGCCTTTTCCCATGACTGTTTTTTTTTTAAGTTAAGGTGTAGGTGAAAGGAGGGATGGCTGCATTGAAAGAAAGACTTTCAGCCACCTGTTTCTCATTGTTTCTAGAAGTAAAAATCCTCAGAAATCCTTAAAGGATAGAGGGGGCAGAAGCTGTCAAAATACATTCTGTCCCACAATAGGTAAGGGAGTGGGTGAAGAAACCTGGGTCAGAAGTAGCAGGGGTTGATAGCATAAGGAGAAGCCAGCAGGCTAACCCTTGAGTTACTCAGAAGAAAAGAGGAGTACCATGAAGATTACACTGACATTTTTCCTAGGAGGATTAAACTGGCAAGGAGACACAGTGCCCTTCCTCCTTCCAATTGGGTTGATATCCTCTACAGTAGGGGTCTTAACCTTTTTTCCTATTGTGGATCCCTTTGGCAATCTGGTAAAGCCTACCGACCCCTTCTTATAATAAAATAAAATATATGGAATTTTAAAAGGAAATAAATTTTGTTGATACACGTGTGTGTGTGTGTGTGTGTGTGTGTGTGTACACGTATATGTATATTTCCTATTCGAGTTGATGCATTCCCTGAAATCTGTCAGGGTGTGATATTCATGGACCCCAATATAACACCATACACATAATACTATAGAACCTACACTATGTACAATAGTTTCTATGACAAAACGTATCAGTTCTCATTTGGGATGCCAAAAGCTACATCTCTGTCCACTGAAGCCCCATCAGTAGGATGAGAGACAATTCCACCTATTCCACCTCCTCATTAATGGGAATAGAGACACCTCTTGTTCCAACAATTCACATTTCTTCAGCTCTTTAAAGGATTTTTGAATTGCTGGTGGTAATTCACAAGGCCTAGGTTCTAGATGAGCAGTCCTTGGGGAGAAGCAGGCATTAGGGTTTCTCATTTAGAGTGAGCAGTAAGCATTTATTAATAGCCTACTGTGTGCCTGGCACACAGTGCTGGGTGTTGATGATCCAAAGACAAAAAAATGAAAGTCTCTCCCCTCAAGGAGCTTATATTCAATGAAGGTCTGAAGTCATTTCAGAAACAGTCTTCTAGAGCACATCTCACATTGGTGTTAAAGACTGCCTGTGTGGACATTTGTAAGTCAGCAAGTGTCTGTACTAGGAAGTTTCTTGCTTGGGTACCACGTCAACTTTTCCTTATTTATTATTTTTTTTTTCTAGTAACAGTGCTTTCTCTTATTTCTCTTTCTAAGAAAAACTTTTCTCTCTGTACTTTTAAAATATTGACATTTAGAAATAGCAATGAAAACTGTTGATTTGTAGTAGTATACTTTTTACTTAAGAAAATCTGTACTAGTTATTATGTGTTTTTGACCCATTTAACTCTTTGTGTGTGGTTTGTAAGGGAGGGGATGGAAGTATGTGGCATGTCTTTTATTTTATACAGTACAAGAATTAGCAGAATCACTACCATGGAATTGTTGTTTGGGGATTATCTTTCCAAAACAGTGAATTAGAGTTGCCGTTGGAAAATTAAACCATTATAGATACTGTAACTTTTTTTTTTAAGTAGGAAACACATTCAAAAGAAATCTAGCTAGTATGTCCCAAGATAGAGGGATAAAATAACAAATGAGTGGGATAAATGTATGAACAGACATAGAAGCTATGAATGTAGTTAGAGATGGACTTTCAAATCCATCATAGCAGTTTGGGGACTGAAAGGATTTTACACAAAGGAATCAGACCAGCTAGTCCTTATATGTAATGATATGTTTTACCTATATAATGATATATAATGACCTATGTAACTATTTAATGATGTTTTAGCTCTCACAAGGGAAAGTTTAAAGCTTGATAAGACAGTCAGGGCAGAGAATATAAGGATGGGGCAGCAATGTGTACACTATGTAGCAGGGCACCTCACACTCCCACATCAGAACAAGAGAAAGGAAGCAATATAGTCATTCAGCAAAAAGGATTTTAGAGGGAAAAACAGGAACAGGAACAGGGGTGTGCTTGTAAATATTTAACAATCAGCACCTCCCAGTAACTAAATAAAGTGAATGATGCACTTCTAAGCTTATCTATAATAGTACCATTTTCTCCCATACTTTGTTAAGTGTAGACAATCAACAGGACAGTGAATTAAGCCCTGATTTGTAGTGTTTGCGGCAAGTTTCAGAGGTGTAAATGCTCATAATGAAAATTTAATAATTTACTAGTTGATTCTAACACATCCCTGGGTAGGAGTCTTACTCAGTAAAGACTAATTGATTTCCCATCTCTGATGTCACAGGGAGGAATATGCCAGGGATTAGCCCCCTAAAAAAGCATGAACTATGAAATGTTCCATCAGTTTTCAGAAAAGATCAAGGAAAAAAGCACATTTAAATCTGAAACAGTCTGTCAGAATTGAGACTTGGCCTAAAAAGCCAGAAAGGCTTTTTGAGCTACCATAGCCATATTTCATAACTGTAGCTCATATTTCCATTACACTTTCCCCAAGACAACCCTGCCAGAGGGTGCTCAGATACTCAAATGGATCTATGATCTCATTATTTGGAGGGCTCCTTCCAACAAGACATTGTAATCTATCCATGCCTCCCTGACCGGAGTGATTTTTGTCCATGTATTCACAAAAGTTTGCCACAGAAGAATACAACCAACATGTTAAAATCGTTCCATGATTTCTTTCAATATCACAAAGGTATCAGTGTATGGGGTGTTCGAGGAGGACTAGCACCCCTTTCAGGGCTGCTTATCCAACTTTGGTGTCTACCTGTCACCCAACTCTCACATATGGCTCCAAGGAGTTGTACACAAGCATGTACAGCAGCCACACTCCAGTAAAGCCATCTTTAACTAGGCTGAGGGTCGGAGGCAGGCCTCAAACATGGTGAATAAGAGAGATGTCTACCCCTCCCCTATGCCCTCAGCATCTGGCAGAATGGGCAGATGAGAACAATTTGTCCAATGGCCATGAAAGTTGCTGAAGCAGGTGCTGTGGAGCGCTTAGAGCTTGGTCAGTTATCAGAGTCACCACGGTCACCCTCTGTACCCCCGGGCATTACCAGTCATCCTGACTTTTGTCTTGCCACTGGACTTCAGTGACTCTGGAAGACAGAGTGAGGCTGACGACTCCGTGCAACTCTGCCTTACTTACATCCAGTTCGTGCTCAAGTCGACACCATCCTGTGATGTCATTGGTCCTCTTCAGCAATGAAGGATGAACAACTACAATCCTTGACATTTCGGTGAATGACTGTAGCTATCTGTTATTTATCACTCACTGAGCAGCCCATCTTATTTTCAGGTCATCCAGTTAATTCCTTAATGAGTCATTTACTGTTACTCTTCAGAGTTCCTCATTGGTCATGGGTTGTAGTTGGGTCATATTCACCATGCACCTTCCTTGTTGCCCTCTGTTTGATACACATCTTTAGTTCTTTGGAGGCAGTGCTGTCCCACAAGTCACTTCCATATAGCAATACTGATAAAATGTTAGTGTTGGGAAGATGAGCCTTTGGTTTCACAGAAAGCTTGGGGTCAGTAAAATGTGCTCAGCAGTTTCTCAAAAACAATCTCACAAAGCAACTAGGTGGCACAATGGATAGAGCACTGGCCCTGGAGTCAGGAGGACCTGAGTTCTCAAATCCAAATTTACTAGCTGTGTGGCCCTGGGCAAGTCACTTAATCCTGATTGCCTGCCTCTCCCCCACCCCCTCTCCAAAAAAAAAAAAGCAATCCCACCCTTGCTTCGCTTTCTTTTAGCTCATCGTCCATCTGTATTGTCCTGGACCTGCATACTATTGGACAAGCTCTACAGGAAGCATGTTGAAACCTGGCCTGTAAATATTCTTCATTCACTTGCTGGGTAGACAGGTAGTAAATATTATTATCCCCATTTCACAGATGGAGAAACTAAGTTTGAGAAACTAAGTCTAAGAACGGGAAATGACTTGCCCATGGATACACAGTTAGTATGAGAGCTAGGTATCAAACCCAGAACTGTTGACTCTCAAGTCCCCCCACTCTCAATTGCCTAGTATTGCTTCTAAAATATTAATTAATGATAGAGCATTTGGTTTTTGAAACTTCACTGTTTATTTCTTTGAATATCTCAATATTAACATATGTACATATAACTCTATGAATATAAGAAAATGTTTCTGTTTTTGTCCTTTAATGTTCCTACTTAAATTCCAAAAGTAACCACAGTTTTCTTTAATGTTGCTGTTAACTGTGTCAGAATTTCAATCACTTTTTCTCATGTAGCATTTATCGGTTCCACACATTCAGGATTGTGACAGATTTTTTCTTGTGTTTTCACTCCAGATGATGCCTTCTTTCTATTACAGATGAATACAATGTGAGCTTTGGCAAAGACACTTCCAGGTAATTATGCAGCAGTTTCTTTAAGGCTGACTGGCTTTTAACCTAATGTTATATGCTAACATCAGATAATTGATATAGAGACACTCACCTGGGCTGGGTTGAGTTTTTATGATTAGAGGCAGTTCCAAAAGTCTTTGTGCAGTTTTAAACTTTAATAAAGCTTTAATAGATTAAAATTACACTAAGACTTTAGGAATACCTTCTACAGGGAAGGGACTGCTCCTTTCTCAACAGTTAATTCTCAACTAAATCATAAGTGCGTCAAGAAAAATGGCACACGCCTTGAGACATCTCCGTTATACTTTGCAGTAGGGGAAACAGTTCTTTTCAAGAAAAAAAAGTTCTTCAGCTTTTATAAACCAGTAATTGGGTCAATGCTTCTTCCAAAAGTAAGGATCTTTTGCAGCTGTTTTAGGACTCAGCTTCTCCAAGCCTAGAATCTATAACTCTACAATCCATGCTTTTGTTCCAGCTCTGAGCCAGTAAGTTTTCTAAATGCTCCAGGATTTTTTTCATGGTAGCCCCTGTGTCACTGGTAAGGGGTAGTGGGTGATGGCAACAGCCATAGAGGCAGCTGGTGCTGCAGTAGATAGATTGTTGGGCCCAGAGTCAAGAAGACCTGAGCTCCGTTCTGAGCTCAGACACTTACTAGCTGTTTGCCTTTGAGCAAGTCATTCAACTTCTTTTTGCCTCATAAGAGCACTTACCTCCCAGGGTTGATGTGAGTATCCAGTGAGATATATTGGTAAAAAAATAGTTATCACAATGTCTGGCACATAGTAAACAGTATATAGATGTTAGCTGTTGTTCGTTTTATCATCATCATATTATTTATCAAGCCCTTACCATGTACTAGATCGTTGTTAAGCGCTGTAGACATAAAGAAAAGCAAAAATGCAGTCCTTGTCCTCTTAATTTTGCTTCTTGGGAAAACTTGGAGTTACTGAAAATGATGCAATTATCCCTTCCACATCAGGACTTTCCCCAGCGAGATTTTGATATATCGCCAGTTGGCTATGAAATTAAAGGGGAATTTTGGGAGAATTTTGTGGAAGCCGTAGAGGATACTCAAAGGCCAGCAGATGACACAGAAGAAGTTTAGAAACTCAGAAATGCGTAAGATATGTATTGTATAATATCAGCACCCCCTAAAATAGAAAGAAAAAAATTCAAACTTCTTTGGTATGAAGGGAGGGCCAAAAAATTTTAGGCAGATTTTCCAGACCATGGGAAGGAGTGGGGTGGGAGGGCACTATGTCCCTAACCCCCACAATGCAAAGAGGATAACAACTCTTTCCTTAGATAGCTTATAGTAGACGTTTCTCTAAAATTCAACTTTCTTTTTCTTCATGCTGTGAAATGCAGATTTTCTGTTAGTCAGGGAGGAGCTTGGCTTGGTGACAAATTACTTCCCCCCTCCCTGCACTTTCCCCCCATTCCTCAGGGGCAAAGATAATAATGTATTTTCCAGAATCCTTTGGAAAATGAAGTATGTACAGGATCTATTCTACTGTTAGGACCTGTACTGTCCTAGCAAATATTTATCAATTTATGTCCCTACTTTTGTCAATATCTTCTTAGTAAGCCTTTCAGTTTTGTTTCTCAAAACTCCTATTTCAACTGGAAAACAAAAATGTCCTCTTAAAATTGGCCTGTGTCCAGCTGCTATCTTTGCTTCTCACTTTGAAAGCACTGAGAAATGGATTAGTATTCCGGGGAGTTTCTCTCTCAAGTACTCCACAGGCTTAACTTGAGTTTGTGAGATCAGATAAGACTTTCTCAAACAGCTATGCACCTTGACTCTGGTTAATATGCACAAGATAAAGCACTGTGGGAGTGCTTGGGGATGGTAGCAGGTTGCCAGTTTCTTTGAAAGGTGGCAGACAAGGCCCAGGAAGGTGTGTGTCAGCTCTGTCATTTTACATAGTACTTTCAAACAGAGTTCCTCTGCCTTTCCCTCATAGAGCCTCTGCATTTTCCTTTTTCTCTTGAGAGCAGCCTCATAACATACAAAACAAACTCTAGTCAACATTGTAAGGCTTGGTTAAACCGTGGGAATGTTTTTATTCAGGCAAATGCACTTTGCCTTCTACACAAAATTATGAAACCACTGTTTGTAGAAAGATTTTGAAGGTCACAATGTAATGTAATGTGTGGTTTTGGGAATGTGACAATTCCCTCAACTAAGTTAAAGGAGAATAAGATTTTAGACAGGGAAGATTGAGTAGTGAAACAGGAACCACTTATTCTAATAGATTAGCTGAAGAAAGAAATGAATTCAGTTCTTGTAACTTGGCTTATACTTGTTTTTAAAGACTGTGTTAAATGACTGAATCTTCATTGTGGGTTAGATACACAAGTTGGGAATGGAGTATATATTCAAATAATATTGCTAGCAGACCAGGATCATTGAAAAAATACAGTTTGAAAATACACATATACTTATATTGGTTATACAGTTATCACATTTGACTAGCCCTATTTAATTCTGATGTGTACCAGATCTGATTTGGACTAACACATAAATGGTTTTCTTCCCTTCAGTAGCCTGAAAAATCACAGTGTATATAGTAGGGGGAGGGGGTGGATTGTTCTTGGATGGGAGCAGGAGAGGTCTAATAAAAATGAGTTAAAAACTTTGGACAAGGAAGAGGCTAAGATGGGGTTGATTCCTTCAGCATGATAGATGTTCGTATTTCATCATCACAACAAAGGCCTCTATAAGGATCTCTTCCTGTGTGGAGTAGTAGATTGAACTTGACCTCCAAGGTCCCTGTTAACTCTCTGTGATAGTGTGTATTGACTCATTCTCAAAGAGGCTAATTGATGTCTCTTTGAAGATTTTAAGGACCTGTAGCTACTAATGGGGGCTACTCTTTCTATCTTCAGACAAAGTTAATTATAATCATGGATATACCAAGCAAATTGCATCAAACTATACAATATTATTTGGCCTGACCTTTTAAAATTTTTTTTACATTTTTTATTTTTGTTACATTTTGAATTCCAAGCTGTCTCCCTTTCTCTTTCCCTCCCAACCCATACTAGAGAAGGCTAGCATTTGGCACGGATATAGATGTGAAACCATACACTACCCACGTCCATATCAGTCACCACCTCCTATGGGAAACCGTTCTGACCTGACTTCCTCTAGTCACACTTCTATCTTTTAAATTATCTATTTATTTATTTTGCGAGGCAATTGGGATTAAGTGACTTGCCTAGGATCACACAGCTAGTTAAGTGTCAAGTGTCTGGTCTGAGACCAGATTTGAACTCAGGTCCTCCTGACTCCATGGCCGGTGCTCTATCTACTGCGCCACCTAGCTGCCCCCATAAGTTATCTTGAATGTATGTTACTTGAAGGCAGAGACTGTTTTTCATTTTCTTTTTGTATCCCAAGCACCTAATAATGTCTTGAACACTGTTGCTGTTGAGTTGTTTCAGTAGTGTCTGACTTCATGATCCCATTTTTGTTTTCACGTTTGTTTATTTTTTTGGCGAAGATACTAAAGTGGTTTGCCATTTCCTTCTCCAACTCTTTTTACAGATGAGGAAACTGAGGCAAATAGGATTAAGTGACTTGCCCAGGGTCACACAGCTAGGAAGTGGCTGAGGCCAGATTTGAACTTAGGAAGATGAGTCTTCCTGACTCCATCCCCAGCACTCTGTTCACTGCACCACCTAGCTGCCCAAAATAACTCTTATTATCTCTTCTTTGGGCTTTGTTGTGTGATAAGATGATATCTGTGGATTTATCTTGGGGGAAGAGGGGCAATATGCTTTTATTCTTTAACTTCAAAATAACTTGTAAAGAGGTGTGCAAGAAGTAGGACAAAATAGTAAAAGTTTGCTGGACTCAAAGGAACAAGGGCTGGGGATGTTTCCTGGATAAATCATTCCATCTCTCAGAACCTCAGTTGAGCATAAAATGTCATTGCCATTATCTCTTAGTTGTTATGAGAAAAATGCTGTTGTCAATCTTAAAGGAGATATGAATGTAAACTTGTCTTATCAATAGTCACCAAGTGGTGATTGATACTGAAGCTGAAGCTTAAATATTTTGGCCGTTTAATGAGGAGACAAGACTCATTGGAAAAGACACTGATGTTGGGAAAGATTGCAGGCAAAAAGGAAAAGGGGACAGCAGAGGATGAGACACATAGATAACATCATGGAAGCAATGAACATAAACTTGGATAGACTTCAGTAGATAGTGGAGGATAGAAGGGCCTGGTGTGCTATGGTCCATGGGGTCATGAAGAGTCAGACTCCACTGAACAATAAATAACAACAACCATTTGGTAACAATAACACCGAGGCCCCACATGGAAGCTTTTCAATTTTCCCCTTGCCAATGCTAACTCCATCTTGGATTATGATTGAACATGAGGGAACATTAACGATCCTACCTTAAATTGGGTAAATGTTCCGAGCTCCATCTTTGCTGGTCTTGTACATCCTTAGGTTGACTTAACAGTGGCATTAATTTGTGTTCTAAGTTCCAAGTGTTTATTGTAATATACTTCACTTCTCTTTATTTTTGTCTTTCCTTGAAATTAAAAAAAAATTGTGTAGTTCATAAATATGGGGGCTGGTTCAGAGACTCAAGCAAGTTCTCAAAATTTTTTTCAGTTTCAGCTGCCTTATATGTCAACTTCTTCCATTATAAGCTAGTTTGAGAAAGAAATAACCAGGGAGGGAAGAAGAAACAATAATCTTTTATTTGGAATCTTGCCCTAATTGATGGTAGACTTAAGATTATTCCATTTATTACTCTCCATCATAGCCTGCTCTTGTGGTGTTTTTCCCGAAGATTGGTATTCACTTTTCTTGGAGAATTTCTCTTTTACTTTTTCCTAACTCCTTTATCCTCAGAACCAGATATCAGTGTATCAGTGATATCAATGTGAAATTCTGCAACTTTATTTTTCACCTATCAGGAAAAAGTTTCTCAACCATTGGACAAATTTACTTAAAACTCTCCTTGCTATCAGGTA